GCACCTTTTTTATTTCCTGAAATCACACTAAAATTTGTCCCTTCTTTCTCTTCCCTCTTTCTCTTCCCATTGCCACTTCTGCCACCTGGACTGTTATTTTGGCCTCTTGTTGTCTCGTCTTCCATCTGGTACTTAATAATCAGAAAATTGAACACAGACCCTTTTTCTAGGCTGTGTGATCATATTTTTTTATTTTTCCTGTTAATATTAGCACTTAAGGCTATGGCTCCTCACATCCTTCTTCCCAGAGTGCCCCAATACACTCACTCACTGTCCTCAGGTGTGCCATGAAGTTTAGATGTCAGCTCCAGCTGAACTCTCTTACCTCATGTCACCAGCATAGCGAGCCTCCCAAATTTGGAAAACTATTGTTAAGTCTCTAAAAATTTCTCAGCCTCTCATTTATACCATTCATTCATGTAGTTTATCCATCAAGAATTTATTGAATACAAATTTTGTTCCAGCAATTGTGCTTCTGCTTAAGGATTCAAAGACTGATTAAGATGAACATGTTCATCTCAGGAGCTGATAGTACTGGGAGGCTGAGAAGAATAATTATTAACATGCAGATAAGCACAACCCTGAAATTTATGCTAAGGACCATGAAAGAAAAGAACATATTGCTYCTAATCAGAATGGTTAGTTAAAATAGTCCCTGATTTAGATGAAGCACCTACTTTCTGTGGGGTGATGGGGAGAGAAAATCACTTTCAAAGAAGTAACAGGTTAGGTGAGACCCAGAGAATATAAAATAGCCAGCTAAGGAAAGTGTAGCATGGTGGGAATGGGGCCTCTAAGCAGAAAAAATAGCATTGCAAAGGTTTGGGGCTACAAGGCACCTGAGACTATCAAAGGCAAAACAGAACTGCAGCGGGGTTCTACATCTGGGGCCACATGAGTGCAGCCAGAGTACACTTCTCAAGGCTGGTGGGCAGGGCCACATAATGCAGGACCTAGAAGGCTGTGGTAATGATTGTGGTTTTAAGGGCAATGGGAAGCAATTGAAGTGTTTTAAGCAAGAGAATGACATGAGCTTATTTGAGGTTGAGACTTCCATCTGTTCATCAAAATGTGTTTGCCTCTTCTCCCTGGGCATACAGCCAGATTACATTTCCTGGCCCTCTTCACAGTTGGCTGTGAGCCATGTAACTGTATCCTACCCAGGGAGTACAGAACTTGTAAATATCATGACTAGGACTGGCTCGTAAAAGTCTCCCATGGGCTTCCTCCTTTTTCCTGCTGAATGGGCAGACTTTGGACCCATATGGAAATGGCAGAACCACTGTCAGACTGGACCCTCACACCTAACTGGAGCAGGATCCAGCCCAGCGGACCTGATCCTGAGTCTTCATTTGAGCACGAAAGAAGAACCCCTGATGTTTTGAGCCTGATGTGCTCAGCCCATTTGTTAATCACATCCTGGTTAGTCCAGATTGATATAATATTTGAAAGGTCAATCTTGGTGAAGACTGAGACTTGTCAACAATAGCAGTTGCCGACATTAAAGTTTATTGCGATGTGTTCCATGGAAATTCTGGTTGAAATAGATACTATATAATTGTGGATAAAACATCATTATGTCTTACTGATATTCTGCTCTGTGTAGTGAGATTATGAAAGGGGGAAAAATCTTACTGCATTTGATTCTCAACTCTAGTATTAGTATCACTCACTTTCTGGACTTTCCATAGCATACCCCATTGAATACCTTCAGGCATGTATTTATTATACTAGATTTAATCAACTGGAGGGTGGATGAGCTAAATCTTGTATTTCTTATTTTCTCTGATGTCTAGTGCAGTACTTTTTTCATTAAGCTTTGCTTACAGTAATAAATAAGTACTGAGTCTCATATTTCTTACCCATTGAGTTATTGGAGGTCATGTGCCAAGTGTCTTAGTTTGTGTTGTTTTGCTCTAGCAAAATACCTGACATTGGGTACTTTATAAAGCAAAGAGATTTATTTAACTTTAAACCATAGCACCTGTCTCATAGCATGGTAGAGAAACAGAAAGGGAAATTGATGAGATCAGAGAGGGCCAAGCACATGGGGTACCTCACATTAAGAAAACAATCTGCTTTCTTAAGAACAACTTGATTCTCTAAAAACTACATTAACCCCTCCTGAGGGGTTTGCCCCCGGTCCCATTCCACTTCCAGTTGACTTTGCCTCTTAGAGACCCACGACTGCTAAATGCTGTTGTATTGGGAACCAAGCTTCCAGCATATGAGCCTCTGGAAACATACTCAGACCCTGTCTAAACCATAGCCCCTGTCTCTTGCCTTACCACTGATACTGCCTCAACCTGACTTAAATATGTTTTGATTTCTTAGGGAGGTGTTTAATTTTATTAGATTTTGTTTTACCTGTGATCTAGGAGGGAATGTAACATCATGGGGTCTGAGAGTCGAGCGTTTGCGTAGATGGTATGGAGAAGTGTTTTCAGAAGGCACACGGGCTCACTATTTTAAGTAGGTTGTGCTTGCTCAAAGCTGCTGTTTCAGTGGCTCTATTTCTACCCAGAGTCAGGAACTCATCTCGGAAAATTGATAGAAACTACAAAAAGTCTCAAAGTAGTGAGTTTGTGTAACTCAAATGAACAACGATGAGCATCTAACTAAGAAAGCATTAGTGGAAAAGAAGGTTGGGAGAAGAGTGTAGAAGACTGCAAAATACAGCAACTGAATGGATTTGGGGCCAAGAAAGGATTAGAATAATGATGAATAACGAAATTCCCATGCAGATTATTTTAGTCAGCTTTGTGTTGCTGTGACCAAAAGACCTGACAAGAACAACTTAAAGGAGGAAGGTTTCTTTTGGTTCATGGTTTCAGAGGTTCAGTCTATGGTTGGCTGACTCCATTGCTCTGGGTCCAAGGAAAAGCAGAACATCATGGTGAAAGGGTATGGTGGACAAAATCAGCTCAGGACACAGCAACTAGGAAGCAGAGAGAGCTCTGCTCACTAGGGACAAAGTCCAAACCCCAAAGGCATGTCCCCAGTGACTTGCCACCTTCAGCCAAACCCCACATGCCTAAATTACTACCTACTTAATCCATATTAGTGGGTTAATCCACTGATTGAGTTACAGCTCTCACAATCTAACCATCTCACCTACAAATATACAAACACTCCTGCATTGTCTCACACGTGAGCTTTTGAGGAACTCCTCATATCTAAACCATAACATTTTAATGCCCATCAACTTAAAAAATTCAATTATGTATATCAGTAGATTTATATTCTCTAAGATAAAGCCAATTAATTCTTCCTGCTAAAACAGAAACCGAACCTTTTAGTGTTTTATTAACTTGTTCTATGTTTACTGTCTTTGTGTTTAGTATGGGTGTGTTTTTTGGACATTGTTGACCCATTCATACTGAACAAGGGCAAAAACCATGAGAATTGAAATTTCTGATAATAAGAGCCATAAAATTATGACCATAATGATGAAGAGATTAAAATAGAACTTGTAAAGCATGAGAGAAATGGTGGAAATTGCATTTACAGGGGATACGAGTCTCTTGACAGTAGGAACAACACTGAGCAGGGAAGAATTAATCATGCCACAAGTGAAAAGCAGTGCATTTCACAGTGCAGTTGTAGGTTAAAAAAATTAAACAAATGAGAGAAAAGACCCCGCAAATATTGGAGTGTGCCTTTGGAAGACCAGCATTATTTTTGAATGCTACTAACTCAGTTGGTTTTTTAAATGTGAAGTCCAGTAGTGGTTCAGAACGTAGCACCAAGTACGGTGGAGAGCCTCAGCCATGTTTTCTCTTTATATGTACATGCATCAGGGAAGGTATAGAAGTGGCATATGGAGAAGCCATAACTTCTAAAACTGTCCCTGTGAGATGAACACAGGAGGAGCAGGAGTAGAGCACAGATGGTGGTAGAAGTGAGAAGAGCAAAGAGGGGATAGATTTGTATGCAAAAGAAAAGATATAGGCTCAGTCTTTTTTATTTTTTGCTGGAAATATTTACTTTTTGATAAGGGTGGTTACCTTTCATCTCTGTGTTGACACTCTAATGACAGAGACGTACCATACTTAGAAGTGGTGAGAAACGCTTCCCTTGCCTGTGTTCCATAAGAGTCTCTGGCCTCATATGTGAAAACACAGAATAAATTAGGGGCCTTAGGAAAAAATTATACTTTACTTAAAATTTGATATATCTTTTCAAGGTAAATTCCAATTTACATAGTAACACATTGCTTCCTCAATTTTGTTTTCAAGTAAATGTGTTGATTTTTAAATTAACACTACAGGTTACTGTATGACCTTTAAAGTGGAAGTATTGGCTGCAACTTCTTGACTTTAATGTGGTTTTTGATATTTAAGGAAGAACACTTTTTACACAAAATCATTTGTTTTCAACTATAGCACTGGATATAGTTTTGTTGATTTCTGACTAATTAAAAAGATGAAGTAGGGTTGGGAAAATACAGCCAATCCAGATGGAAGGAATGGGAGAGAACGGATAGGTTTTTCAGTGTAAACAAATGTGGCTGAAGAGGAAAAATGTAATGTGGGGTGTGTGTGTGTGTGTGTGTAATCATGAAGATGGATTAAGGTAGTATAAATGTGAGTTAACAAACATCCTTAACATGCATGGACAGCAGCTCCATGATAGGTTATTATGGGAAATTAGAGATGAAATGAAATTCCATAAGATTTCTTTTGTGAATAAAATAATATGTAGAATATAAATATATTTCTTTTGCAGTCTGAGGAAATAGATACATAGTATGATTTTTTTATTCTTATGTAAATTTTGTATTCTACCTTGTATGATTTTTCATTCGTGTCATATTTGAATTTATACCTTATGTGTATTACTGATACTTAATAGGTTAACCATTTTAAATTTATAGCCAAATGTGGAAAGAAAAAAATATAGTTTTCCCAAATTATATTCTTGCCATTTAAAAAGATATACTTGTGAGCTGAAAATGATAGTACTTCTTTTTTTAAATTAACATTTTATGTTTTCTCTAGGCTGGAATGATAAAAAGTGAGAATGAAGAATATTTCATTGAGCCTTTGGAAAGAGGTAAGCAGATGGAAGAAGAAAAAGGAAGGATTCATGTTGTCTACAAGAGATCAGCAGTAGAGCGGGCGCCCATAGACATGTCCAAAGACTTCCACCATTACAGAGGTAGGAATCTCTGACTAGACTTTATAATTAAACATTTTAAGATACAATGAAAACGACCCTCCCATCATGAGTATAGAGAATATAATTGTCATGTACTCTTTTGTAATGTGCACGTGGCAAAATAAGTTTATATATCATGAAATATGACTTTTCTTTTTAAAATGCATGAGCATATTTGATGGGTATTATTTTATTCCAGTGTATTAGTATATCTCCAATATGTTTTCATGATTACTTTTTAAAGTTTTATTTTAAAATGTTTTTAACTAACTTATGTTAAAATTTGAAAATATTTATGATTTCCAGAACTATCTAAGCTATGCATTATTAGTGTTATTTTTATAAGATCTTAAATGACATATAGTGGCACAACAGAGATCTGTGTTTTAAGACTACTGTGATAGCTACATTTGAAAGTAATTAAACTCTTTGACTTTATAGTTTGTTTTGCAAAACTTTGTACTACTAGAAGGAGAATTCTGTAGAATAGTAGAATTTTTTCTCAAAATAGGCTGGAGCCAATAAAGTGAACTATGGCACATGGAAATTTTCTATTTTTTTTTTCCTAATGAAATCTGAAAATAAGTCAACATTAAGAAGATTGTCTTATATGTTACTTACGGAAGTTTCCTTTGTGGAAAAGAAAGAAAACTTAGGAATTTATATTTTTTACTAAATCTATATTTCTTTTGCCTGCCCAACTTTCTGAATTCAGGAAATTTCCTTGAAGAACATATGAGGTATAGAGACAGTTTTAATTAGAGCATTAATTTGGCTCACAGATTACCTTTTGTGATTTGCTATGTAGTTATTAGTTTGATTTTCAAATACTACTGGCTTCCCTTCATCAGCTGCACTAATGGAATAGATCTTGTATGGTTCCCTTGAGCAGTATGTAATGTCCATCTTTATCCCCTTTATCCAGTAAAAGATCTTTAAAATAAATATAGCCTGAACATTTTTGAGAAATATCTGTTTTGAAGAAAAAGAACTATGTTAATAAATGCAATGTTATAAAATATGTGCTTAACTTAAGTCATTCTGGTGTAACAGAACTGGAATGAACTACACAGGCTCACTGTGAATAATAATTTTGAAACCATTTCGGACACTGTGGCTGTCCTCCTGTTGCTCCATCTGTCATAACTACAGGTCCACCAGGATGTACTCTGTATCAATTCCTGAAGGTATCTATATCTGTAAATATTAGTCCTGTTACTTTTTATTGCTGTGATATTTACAAAAGGGAGAAATTACTTTTTCTGTGAAATAAGGAAATCACAAGACATTATTTTAATACCTATTGTATTTTTAGATAATGGAATAGGGAAAATTTTATAGTCAAGATGTATAACTTTAAAAGGATCACATSGGATTAAGGAAAATTGGAACATTATTATAGGAAATTATTAAAAATATCAGTTCCAGTAGCATGAACATGTTCAGTTTACAGTAAGGGTTATTTGTAAGAATGCAGACACTAAAGACTTTTGTTCTTCAGTCATGAAAAGAGGATTGCCTTATGGTAACAGTTGGCCAAAGAGTAACACATTTTGGAAAGGTTTTTAATTTTCATTGGCCATGGGTCAAAATAAATGGAATTCCTTTGTTAACTCTCAGTTACCTTCAATCTTGAACCAAAATAGAGGCCCTCAGTTCTCTTAAATAAATGTTCCAAGATGAACTTTAATGCAAACTTAATGTTTTTTTATTTTATTACTTAAGAAATTTTAATTGAATTATGTTATGGGTAACATCAGTTTACCTTCTTTGAGAGTCTTAAACTGTGACCACCATATACATTAGAAATGTAACTTCTTGAGGGCAAATCCCAATTCAGAAGTTCAAGTACTAAATTTCTCACATTCCTCTGTTTCAAGATGTTATTTTAGGAGACATATGAGTCTTCAGTGAGTTGTAGTAAGAGGAATGAGATACTTGAGCTAAGGCTTACCTAGAAAGAAATGCATTGAGAACCATGTCTTCATATTTTTTTTTCTGACAGCAAGTCATCAGAAGAAATATTGATTATAAGCAAGCCATTCCTTACCCTGTGGGGTTTTGTTAGTGGGCCCCTATGATACTCTGTCATATTTTGCTAGTTATCATAGTGCTTGCCTGGCTATATTTCTTGCTTTGACAGTAAAGCTGCTACGAAATACCATAGATTTAGCTGTTTACTTTGTTGTGAATGTTCTAAGTTAAAACAGATTAGGAATTGAACTGGATAAGTAGAGGGGATGGAGTGATGGAGCCATATTGAACAGAGATTGAAATAAACACTGAAATTATGAAGGTTTGTGATGGAGAAGACCTCGAGGGTGGGGGCAGGGGAAGAGGAGAAGTAATCAAAGATCACTCAGAATTCTAACCTGTAGTACTTGAGAATTTTCTTTCTAGAATTAAGGTATATAAAAACAGCAACAGAAATAGGTTTGTTGGAAGCTGACAGGTGGGTATGATTTTAGAATAAACTTGATGATCTATTGGAATAGCAAGCAAATTGAAAAATGCATAATGTATTTTCGTAATCCTGTCCAGGGGCTTTACATGAATAACATTGAATACCTTACATACGTTTGTAGTAGGGATGAGTAGAGATTAGCTTGGGAGGCAGGTGTCAGGTATTGCTTTGCAGGTGCTTGGAATGTCTCTGCTTGACTTTCTGTGCTCTTGTTCCCAACTGTGTCACAGCATCTGAAAGTGCACATGGCAAAGTATTGGAGGTACATGAAAGGCATTTGTTACTTACCACTATAGGTGAGGAGGAAGCTATGCCCTAAGAAACAAAAGTAATACTAGAATTCTAATACTAGATTCATAAAGTTCACCTCCGCTATTTAAAAAATTGGTATTTTTACCACACTCAGGAACCCTATGCTCTTGATCTTGGTCAGATGCAAACATGTATTTTCATTCCCCATCTCCTAAAAATATTCATCTGAGTTTCTAATAAAAGTCACAGCTTTGAACCTGATGATAGAATGTATGATGTGTTCCAACAAGAGGAAAAAAATCTTAACCAATTCAATATATAGCAGATTTCTCTTTCCTTGACTCTTAAAAGGAAAGCTGTATTCTTTTGAGCTGTGCAAAAAATTTGAAGAGCTGTTTAGAAATACACTGAAGTAACTAGTAAAATCAGAGATGCAGTGCTCTGCTTTTGAAGATTTACTGTTTCCAAAGTGAGATCTAAAGCACTTTTACATTGGACAGTGAAAATCCTGGTCAGTATAGAGCCAACAGGTGTTCATTACATGAGCACAATCAGTGTCTGGCACTATCTTTTAGTTAGACAACAAACATAAACTTGTCTAGTTCATCACAGTGGGAGAATTTACTTTGCTTTCTTCTCTGATGTCTGCTGTAGGGTTATGGAAATCACATCCATTTTTGGCATTTTCAATTTGGACAAAATTATTTTTTACTTGGCTCTTATTTTTGAAATTTTAATGGGTAACAACATAGATTCATAAAGTTTACCTCCGCTATTAAATCAGTCATTTGTCTAAAACTCAAATAAAAAAAAATATACTGCTGACCATCTCTCAAGAATGCTTACATTGTCTTCATTAAGAAGCTCACGTTAGGCCGTCTGCTTTGGGGGGAGGGAGACTGTACGATAGCATGACATCATTCAGCTTTTCATATTTTTTATTTAATCCCTAGGCCCTTCAGCTTCTCCCCTCAAATTACAAACTATTCATTCACCAGAAGCTTTGTGTTAAAGTAATTTTTGTAATTACTTCCTACCAGCGGGAAACAAGGAATAGTAAGCCTTTATCTCCCTGCTTCCTTTCAGCATTTTCGTTTTCCTGCAGGAACCCAAGTGCTTGCGTGGCTGGTATGGTTGTCATGGTGCTGTGAAGGAGTGTCTTTGTCCCAGGTGGGAAACATGGAAAAGTCAGAAATGATTTAGGAGTTGCTCCTGGTTGCTGGGGAATGGAACCATGAAAGAAGAACCATAATTATGGGAAGAGTGTTTTATTTTAGTGATGCTGGAGTGCCTAGGTGCAGAGTCTTTCTCTGAGTGCACAGATATGTCCCTAGGTTCTCTAATCCTTCATGCTGGGAAGTCCTTATGATCTGTGCCCTAATCAAATAGAACCTTTGGTGGGCTTTGCAAACCTCCATGAAAAAATATCAAAGAATAGAACTCAATCTTAGCAAATGTTTTAGTAAGTTAAGGCATGGAGCATAATATTTCTACAATATTAAGATGTCAAATAGCAACTGTTCTTTTAGTTAGGTGTTAAGTTATAAATCATTTATAGCTGCATCAGTCTATCATCTAATCTAAGGGTCAGTCATGTGTCAAGGCTACTTCTATTGGGTTCATAATGAAGTCCTAATAATATGTATGGGATTTGTTTTCAGATTTATTTAGTATATTTTGCAATCCGGGTATTTATAACAATGATTGACAAAAATGATGGCTCTGTGGAGATTGGATTATTACATTATTAGTCATGAAACAGAGTGATAGTAAAAGGGTTTTCAGATGTGAAACCTAAAGGATATTTATTTTCTTTTATTAAAATACCTATGGGGGGCTGAAACTGTAGCTCAGTGGTAGAGTGCTTGCCTAGCATGTGTGAGGTACTGGGTTCAATCTCTATACCACGTAAAAATATATGTAAATGAAAAAAAGTATTGTGTCCATCTACAACTAAAACATATGTGTATATATATGTATATGTGTATATATGAGTATATATACATACATATGTAAATAAAATACCTACTGGGCCTATTATATCCCCATATGAATAAGCTCAGTTAAAGGACCTTATTATGAAACCTATAGGCAAGGATTAATGTGTTACAAATGTAATTTGACATATTTTCCCACTAAAAAAATTGAATATAGAAAAATACAAACCATAGTGAAACTTCAGGGTTCTGGATCACTTTTTGTTATTGATATGGCATTAATTGAAGTAGAGAATTGGAAGGTTTTAGATATATCTGAGTGACGAAAAATTGTAGGCAGTGAATTT